TACCACAATAAAAGTTTTGACAGCGCGGGTAATCGGAATCCGGTCAAGAATTCCATTCACTGACAGCGACCACCGCGACGCGTGTATTTTTTTACGTTACAGGCGACTTGACTGCAGACGATACAGCAAGTACGAAACAGGTAGGTGCATGTCTCGAAGCCAACCACTAACTGTACATCAAAGCTCGGCTATCTTTATGATACTCAAGAACCCAATACAGTCTATTGGTCGCTGTTTGGTTTGTGCGATTTTACGCATTCCAATTGTGGCATACGGGTAAAACAAACCACGCCGCCCGCGAACCCCCTTAGTTTCCGTTCCTTCCCTTCCCTCCCCGCTTGTCACATTTCATCCTGGGGAGAACCCTGAGCTTGGATTGAAAATTGATTTGAATTAGGTGCAGGTGTTTCTTTGTAATACTGTTATACATAGCTTTTGGAAATCATTTTTTTTTTACATGTTTTCTGTCATTTCTTTGGATATTTGAATAGCTTTTTGAATTATTATTATATAAGCGGGCTTTTAGTGGAATTTAATCGGGGCGGAGGTATTTCAAACGGGGCGCAACGATTGAAACAGGGGGGAGTTTTCCCAAACGGGGCGCGGGCGCCTCGTTTGCGCAACGTAGGGAGAACCCTGCTGAGCTCTTGCCAACTTCTGCGCCTTATAGAAACAGTCGAACGTGTGATATATATATATATATACGATTAGCGCTACGCTGTTTAACGTGTTAATCGATGTTCCTTCAACTAAAAATAAAATCGGTGAAATTTATACGTCGATCATATTGATACGCGCTTGATTATCGTTTTTATTATAAAAGATTATGGTAATTAATATTATTATGTTCTGCGAACTATGTGATATATATAAATACAAGGATGTATACTTTCTTGGCATTTTATGTAAATCTAGCTATAATTTACAAAAATGGTGCTATTTGTAGCTTGCACATATTAGGCCTACTATTATTAGATAAACTAGATTACACATAAAGAAAAAATGTACTCTATATTGCTTCCCACGGAAGCATAAACGTAATGCTAAACACGCTGCAGCTAAATATTACTACCGCTCATAAGGTCTATGTCTCCCTGGGTACTGCCGGAACGTACCCTGAGTACGGTCTGGTATACCGGAACGTACCCTGGTCACTATCTGATATTAGGAGCTAATAATGACAAAATTTGGTCATTATTAGCTCCTGCTGATATGCCGGACCGGACCTGGCCTACTCCACTAACGAGTCTAGGGAGTCGCCTACGCCTACTCCCTAACCCTAACCCTAACCCAACCCTAACACTAACCATATCAGATAGTTATCAGGGTACGTTCCGGTATACCGGACCGTACCCAGGGTACGTTCCTGCAGTACCCAGGGAGACATAGACGGTAGACCCTCTCAGCATTACTGTCATTACGTAACTACAATTGTTGTAACTAAAACAACGATGACCATGAAATCTGAGCGAAATAGTAAAACCTATATGCGTTATAGTTTACTTTATTAGCTATAGGCGATTCGCAGTTCTTATTACAGCCCGATTTCTAAAAAGTGGCGGCGTTATGTTATTCTTAATTCCGTATATAGGCCCTATACTTGATGTACGAGATGTAGAATCACAGAGCCATTGCGAGCATCAGAAACTGCAATTAAATGGTTATTTAAAGTATGTTAGTTCAGGAGCAGCTCCAAGTTGGCGAGGTTTTGACTGCAGTGCAGATAAGCTCTGAAATTGCTATAGACAGCGCAATTGAACAATTCTGGAAAATGTAGAATCAGTAGATCAGCATTTACGAATTGTAATAATTTACATTTATATTTTACTATAATATACATTACACGTAATACTAATGTAGTATAAAACTTCTACGTGTATTTTCTCAATAGTTATAAATTATTATTTTATCGCTCTTATTATTTATGGTTTCTATTGAACTACCGTGTCCCATTCAAGTTCAATTCCATCAGTTTTGCACAAATCTCTCAAACCAGAATGTGACGTGGGAAACGGCAGCTAACAGGTTAGAAATTGAGGATGTAACACGAGCTATTGTAATGCGGGTTACGATACAACTAGTATCACTGAAACCAGGAAAACACTTCGACCTCCGTGCCAGGACTATCTTAGTGCCGATCACGCACAGACGGTAAAGTTCTCCGGCAGAAGGAACGCTGGCGCCATCTTTTGGTGAAATTTGCCAATTTGAAGCAATTTACATAGTTTGCGATTATATTGTATTTGAACAGGACGCCCGTATGTACTAGATACACGTTACTTGAGCAACTTTATTTCAAAAATAACAATTTCTTTCAAATCAATGTGGTTTAGAGAAACGATGCCAATTTGACTAGCAGTGACGACTTGTTTCATCAACAGCTAAGTTGACATCTTCGCTGGCACATTATCAAACATGCATCCGAATATACACAAATGACTATCTTCATGTGGTTTCCATGGTGAGTTTTTGTTACGTTAAAGTATATCTGCATACGCCCACGATAATGCGTTCCAAAGCGCAAGCACTGGCCTCTACGACATGCACTGCTCTCGAGTACCTATCGTCATGCTGTGTCACCCATTGTCATGCTGTCACCTATCGTCATGCTGTGTCACCCATTGTCATGCTGTCACCTATCGTCATGCTGTGTCAGCCCTATGTCACGCTGTGTACCCTATCGGTCAGTGCCTTATGTGTATCTATCGCATGCTTGTGTGGGCATCTATCCCATCATGCTGTGTCATCCTATCGTCATGGCTGGTGTCACTTATCATACATGCTTGTTCACAGCGTATCGGTCATGCTGTGTCTACCATATCGTCAGTGGCTGTGTCATCTAATCGTCATGCTGTGTCATCGTATCGTCATGGCTGTGTCATCTATCGTCATGCTGTGTCACCTAACTCCATCATGCTGTGTGTCACCTATCGCATGCTGTGGTCACCTATCGTCATGGCTGATGTCACCTATGATCATGCTTGTGTCACGCTATTGTCATGCTATGTGTATCTATGCATTCAATGCTGTGTCAGCCTATCTGTCCGCTGTGTCACCTATCGTCATGCTTGTGTCACCTATCGTCATGCTGTGTCACCTAGCAATGCATGCTGAGTGTCAACCTATCGGTGCTGCTGTGTCAGCCGTATCGTCATGCCTGTTCACCTATCGTCACGGCTTGTGTCACCTACGTTCATGCTGTGTCACCTATCGTCATGCTGTTGTCACCTATCGTCATCTGTGTCATTCTTATCGTCGATGCTGTGTTGTCAATCTATCGTCATGCTATGTGTCATCTCATCGTCGATGCTATGTGTCATCCTATCATCATGCTGTGTCACACTATCGTCATGTTCTGTGTCACCATAATCGTCATCTGTGGTCACTATCGTCATTCTGTGTATCTATCATCATGCTGTGTCACCTATCGTCATGCTGTGTCACCTATCGTCATGCTGTGTCATCTATCGTCATGCTGTGTCACCTATCGTCATGCTGTGTCACCTATCGTCATGCTGTGTCACCTATCGTCATGCTGTGACACCTATTGTCATGCTGTGTCACCTATTGTCATGCTGTGTCATCTATCGTCATGCTGTGTGTCACCCATCCCCCTGTTCCCTGTGTCACCCATCCCCCTGCTCCCTGTGTCACCTATCCCCCTGCTCCCTGTGTCACCTATACCAATCATCCACATCTCCACGTTTCTTCTTCTCCTCTTTCTCCTCCTCCTCCACCTCCCCTTCCTCTTCCCTCTCCTCGTCGTCGTCCTCGCGCTCCGCCCCGCCTCCCTCCATCGCCGAGCCGCACGCCACGCCCGGCATCATCGCGTACGCCGGCGCAAACTTCTCGAACCTCGCGTGCTCGAGGTCGATGTAGCCCATGTCGCGTTCGACGTAGTAGATGAGCAGATGAACGAGGTTGTCGTGCGCGAGCCAATCAGCGAGCGGCCGCAGCTCCTCCGCCGCGCACAGCGCCCCCCAGTGGTGCTCGACGAGCGCGATGTCGTACTGCACGACGCCGACCGCGCGCACAAACTGTTCCGTCGTCACGCCGGCTGCGAATAGATGCTCCATGACGGCGCGCGCGTTCGCCGGGTTGACGAGACGCGTGTGCCGGCACTGCTCCCGCAGTCGGCGCACGATCACGCGCTCATCTCCGCCACAGCGCGCGCGGATGAACCGCGCCGACTGCAAGAGGGCGCCGCTGTTCCAGCCCTTCTCGAGCGCGCGCCGGTAGAGCGACTCGGCGGAGTAGAGCATCGTCAGCGACACGTAGGGGTAGTCGAGGTCCTTGAGCTGCTGCAGGCGTCGCGACACCTTGTTGAAGTGGTGGATCAGGTTCACGTACTTGTCGTCGGTGCGCATGAGGCTCACCTCAGGGATGCGCTCGAGCCGCTCGATGCGCGACGCCACCGTCGCCGGATGCAGCGTCAGAATCGCGCCGCTCAGCGCCACCTGGCGGGCCGTCACCCCCGCGCGCAGCAGGGTTTCGATCGTCCACGTCACGTTCTCGACGGTCTGATAGAGGATCTTCGGGTGCGCCCATACGACGCGCAGCACGGGGAAGTCGTCGCCTAGCAACCGCGGCATCTCGCGCAGCACGCGGCGAGCGTTCGCCGTCTTGATGTCGAGCAGAAAGCGGTTGCGTTTGATCTTGTCGATGGTGAAGCCGACCTCGTTCAGCAGCAGGTCCAGGTTGTGCTTGATCACCGTCAGGTTCGTGCGCGAGTAGCACTGTCCGAGCTGCGCTGTCTCGGGTGGCGTGCACCGCAGGCGATCGACGAGGTAATGTCTGCGCAGGACGCGGCGCAGCGTGTACAGCGAGCCGTTCTTCAGCTCCGGATAGAGATCGACGAACGCCTCTGCGGTCGTGTCGTACTCAAAAAGCTGCAGCGCGGTGCGGAGCGACCGCCAGAGCGCGCCACCCTTCGCCGGCGTCGTGTAGAATATCGTCTTGTACTTGACGAGCATGTCCAGCGTGACGTCGGCGAAACCGATCTCGCGAAACGCGACGTCGCGCTTCTCGATGGACATGTCGCTGAGGAGGAGCACCTTGGCGTGGTCAGCGACGTCCGTCCGGCTGTACCCCAAGCCGTCCAACGTCTTGAACGCGGCGCGTAGGGCCGACGTCGGCACGCACGTCAGACCCTTGCATTCCTTCAGGATCTTCGCTGCTCGGTCGCTACTCACGCACAGCTCTCCTGCGAGAAAATCCACATACTCTGCGACGGTGCCCCGAGGTTTCTTCGCGGGTGCGTCCTTGTCCGTCGGAGGAGCGACAGGCCCAGGTCCCACTGGCTTCTCACTAAACCAGTCTTCCTCGTGCTTGCAGTTATCATCTGGTATAGGAACGGAACAGAGCCAACGCACGTGGAAAGCAGCCACTCTGTGACACGCGAGAGGGATGCGTGTGCACTTAGGGCCCAGCCTCCCTACTGACAATCGTGTTGGACCGTACGAAAAGAAAACGCGGTGTCTGGCGCAGGTGCAGGGGAAAGGTAGGGATAACACAGCACCTCTTCGAGGTATGCAGACCAACGTCCTATGCAGTAGGCTAGTCGCACTCAGCATGTGTCTCGTTGATTGTCAACTGTACGAAAGCTTTGCCAAGTGCTGCATCAGAATTTCCTGAAGAAAGAAAATCAATGTTTCTTTCAATTTTCTAATGTTAATGAATCTTTTCTTCATAATTTTACATTATGCTAATTTGTTAAATGTGTGATTGCACTCTACCCTTTTGGAGGCTGGTAAAATATGATTCAGTAAAATTAGCAGCAGTTCCAAATGTGCTATCAACGCTTCTGTTTACAATGAATTAAATATTTAACCAACCACTAAATTTCTATATGGTATGTCATGACAGTACAAATTTTAGATGTAGATGTCAGATTTTACATGCACCACAGTATATATTTAAAGATTAACAGGTTTTATTAATTTTAATTTTTTTTATTAATAGTAAACAAGGTCCGTCTGTTTTATAAAAAACTTTGCTTACATCAAAATGTAACTTAAACATACCAGTGAAATTGCACTACCACAGGCTTCTATTCCTATAAATGAGTCTTCTTACATGTCGAAATTATGTTTACCAACAACTAGGGGTTTTCAAATACTTTTTCAACCTGCACACAACAGCAGAAATTCAAATGTTTCATTGTTTATATAGATGTATATGTACCTAGCATGAACAGCCACTTGCCAAATTTACTCTATCACATATCCCTAGTGACAGTTAATAAAATAAACAATATTAATACCGTACATATAAATGAGTCTATTTGTTATCATAAAGTATGCAAACAGTTGTACAAAACTCGACAACACTGTTTTGATTTAGCTATTTACAGATGCACTAGCTGCCAATAAAAATAGCTATACTATGCAGATACACACTGTTTATGAATGATTTTGTTTATTCATCATAAGTTCATAACCTAAAACGTGAACACTCAGGCAATGAATAAAAGTGGAAAAGGGTTAGTCACAACTAGGAGTAGGATACATGAAATTCAGATGAATTATTTGACCATACTTTAACCAAATAAAAATATCCTAATGTTATTTGACATTGAATTGTTTTAAACAATAGACCCGCTAATTAGAAAGCAACAATGCCTGTCATTCGATTTTATCTGGTTCTTTGCAAATTCTAACTGATGGTCTACTTTTGAAATACAATTTAACATTTGAAATGAATGCTCTGATTGAATGACATTCTACCAGCTTAGCTATTGACATTGGCAAGCACAAGACAAATCAGCATATCAACCCACCGTTCGAAGAGATTAGCAGCTAGAACTCATCATGGTGTCCAGAAATAGAGCTTCGGCTTCCCACAAACATGTCCTGGTGGTCAAGAATCTCCGATATGCTAAGCCGACCGTCGCCATCGTCGTCCGCGGAACTGATGAGATGTTCTGCCTCATCTCTCGCCATCTCCTCATTGTTCGGCACCAACCACAGCAACATCTCCTCCTTGTCCAGATAACCGTCGCTGTTTCGGTCGAAGTACTCGGCGAACCTCTTACGTTCTATCGTCGCCCACTCTTTGTCGTGCTGGTCCTTGTCGTCGCCGAGAAACTCATCGAGGTCGAGTTTCCCGTCGCTATCCTTGTCCTTCTCGTTGAGCGACTCCGTCATCAGCACGTCCCACATTTGCTCGTGCTCCTCCGGATGAGAAAACGCGAAAAATTCCGCCTTTTTGAGAACGCCGTCGCCATCCGCGTCGGCCACGCTGAACAGTCTCTCGTCCTTCTTCATCTCCGCCGCGAGCTCTGGTTCGTTCGTCAACACCTCCACCTCGTCTTCGTCGTCGAATACGCCGTAGTCTTCCATCACCTCTCGCAACGTCACCTCCCCGTTCTCGTCTTCGTCCACCTCCTCGAATCGATCGTCCGATTCCTCGAGACTCAGCGAAAGAAACGACTTCTTGATCCAGGCGGTCAACTCCGGCGTGTCGACAAAACCGTCCGCATCCGCGTCCATGCGGTCGACGAGCTCCGCCAGTTTTTCGCGCGCAGCTTCCCTGCTTAGGGATTCAAACAGCTCCACTTGCTCCTGACTGCCGAGGATCACCTCGTGGTCAAAGTCGTCGTTGTGCACGTCGTCGTGGTAATGGTGGGCGTCGCGTGGCGTCGGCGCGCCGTCCCGCATCCGCTCCTTGTTCACCTCGCCGTGCACGTGGTCTAGAGGTGGCGCCCTCCCGGCCACGAGTAAAAATCCGCATAGGCAGATCAGGAGGAAAACGCGCGAAGATTCCATTACGTTTATCGAAGGCCTACGTTTCGCTACGCGGCGACGCTTCCGAAAGAGAGATGGCTAGAGTGGGTGTGGCCCCGAGCTACAGGATTTTGTGGCCGTTCAGTGTACCTACTCGATTATCTCAGCTTGGCAGTGTCTCTAGATGTAGACCGTAGGTGCAGGCACAATTCACAGCGTCCATGGAAGCAACCAATTATGAGTGGCTGAAAATAGGAAATGTTGAGGATATGATCAGTTAAATACCTATTCCCAGGTAATATGTTGCTCAGTGTTGCTCCTGCAACACCAATAGGAAATGATGTGAGTGTGCAGTGAAGAAAATCATGACTAAACAAATAAACGATGTACAACTATGACAATTTGTTATTACAGAAAAAAGTAATTTCAGTTATTCCTATATAAATGTGCCTATAAATGCATGCAAAGTAAAAATTTTAAAGTGTGCCATATTTAGGGCAATTTTCAAGAAATATAATTTTAAGAGCTTGGCATTTCTACCGTACTGCTAACAGTAAATAGCCTCGCATACTGTACAATTGGTAGCCTACCCGGCTACCACTTAACAGTACCGCCTATTGGGGTTGGGGGGTGTTACCACCTATCTGTTATGAGTTATGGAGGTACCAAACAGTGGTAGCCCTACCATACTGTTACAGTGGTAGCCCTACCTTACCAGTTACAGTACCGTACTGTTACAATGGCAGCCCTACCGTACCAGCACTGTTACAGTCTCGGGAACTTGAAACGTTTTAATGATAAAAAATTATAGTGCTAGAATAGTGATAGATGAATAAACACAAAATGTATTTACTACTAGTCTTTAATGTTTCTCTACTCTTTTTCGCATATCGTTACCAATAATTTCTTGTAAATGTTGTTCAGATGCTTCTCTGCAACACACAATGTACCGCACACATGCCACTGTGCACAAACAACGAAAATAAAGAGCAGGTGGGAACGTGTGACCGCAAAATTTGCTAGACGCTCGCATCGTTTCGCACATTCACAGCACAAATACACCAACAGCAGCCTCCATTCAAATTACCACCTTTGCCAGTTGATGTAACTTAATTTATCCAGAGACATCTGGTGGATTCCTGCAGAAAACTTCCACTTCGCCAAAATGTAAATGGGAGCAATTGCCCGTTTATTATTCGAAACTCCATAATCGCGCTACTCGATTGTTTTGGAAAATGAACGTAGTCGTGTGTGTGACGTCATTCCCGCGTGCATTATGCTAGCTTGGCTTGGCGGGCCTCGAAACGGAGCTTGGAAGCAGGGAGCGCTTGAACCCAGAATGCAATGCAGCGCCATTACTCATGTCCTTGCTCCCATTTACACTTTAGTGGAGTGGAAGTTTTCTGCGGGAGTTCGTGAGACATCTCCGAGTAGGCAGTACCATTTGGCAATTATAATTTGAACAAGTGAACATTTAGCTACGCATAGGTACCTGAATCGAGGCTGTTACAGAGTTGTGCATTTGTGCTGCGATTGTGTGAAATGAAGCGAGCGTCGTGCACATTTTTCGGTCACGCTTTTCCTTCTGCTCTACTAGTATATTCTTGTTGTTTGTGCAAAGCGACATGCGTTCGGTGTAACTTCAACTTGTATTTGTAACACTTTGTCAGTTGTGTGTTGCAGAGGAGCATTTGAACAGGATTTACAGGAAAGCATCAGTAATAACAGGCGAAAGAGAGTAGAGACACCCTAGAGACACATTAAGACTTTGGTAGTAAATACATTTCGTGTTTATTTACCAATAATCATTACCATCAATCATTTATTATCATTCATTATGGAAATGTTTCACGTGGCTGGCCGTGGGACATGGATGACCCGAAAACAACGTCAACAGTACCGGTGGCGGTGTCACACTAAGACTGCGTATTTCCCCACAAACATGCAGTGAGTAAGCACCACAGATAATATTAATACTAATAGCCCTTGGGCCATCACGTTAGTCGTTACCTCATCAAGCACATTCATCAACGGGTTCCCATTTTTACCTCGCAAAATATCGCGAGATAAGACGAGATCAAGAAAAATAACCAACCACATAAGAAATATCATCTATGAGAAATATTATAGATAAATGACAGAAAACCACAATCGATGAATAAATATATGACAATGTGCATGGATTTTATGACATAAGATTTATGCACATAATACTTCAATCGCTGGTGTTATACTGTCGACGGTACTCGGTGCATATTCTACATTTTATTCCGGTGGGTGCCGACACTGTCGGTGTACTCTGAGGTTTTCCGGTCGTAGCGTCTGAATGTGAATCTTGTTGCAAAACTTCTACTTTTATGGTAACCTTTATGAGTGGTCGTGTACGCGACGGTCTACTGAGTTACAACCTACCTCTGGCCTGTCGTACTCAAAGATATCGACTGTTAGATTGTGAACAAAGTACTCTACACTCACCATGTCTGGTAGGTACATTTTAATTCGATATGCACTTGCACTTGCAGGCTCTTATTAATGTTACTATACCAATCTGTGATCGCTATATTAAAGCCCATCATTTGGGTGACTAACAACGACGATTAACAACATTTCGCGATCACAACAGTGCTAAATATTTAAGATTTCTCGTGCGTGATGATGGTTGCTAGTGGTGTTTGCGATTGCGATAGTTGATACTAACTATGTCATTCCTGAAAGTCTTTAAGAAATTGTACTTTCATCAAGGACGATTTGATGGGAGTGTTTCAAGTGTTGCAGTCTATATCATTATACATAGTACCTACGGTACATAGTACATACTACCTACGGAATGTATTCCTAAACAAATTAGTTAGATGTTTAGTAATGATAATATTCTATACATGCTTACCAAGTCTACCAATCTCCTGCAATAGCCTAGGCACGTCACGTGCCACTGCCACACATAAGTGTTGTTGCTTCTCACTACTGGCAGTACTGTCATACTGCCTGACACCACACCTAGCTAGAGTCTCCGTCCCATTTGCCTATAAGTTTCCATACAAACTACAATGACGCTGAGCTTATTCCACATCTCTGTGGTTGCTTAGTGGACATTAACAACAACCGCTAATCAAACATAATTGAAATAAGGAGAAGCAGTTGTCAATGTGTAAATGTGTAAATGACATATACCTTTGTGGGCAAGGCTGATTTACCAATGAATTCAGAATTTTAACCAACCATTTCTCGAGTGATGAGTATAATGTCATGGTTAAGAATGAACATATCTTCATGTACCTTGTCGATAAAAGCTCCAGAACTGTTCTGTAAACTATCATAAAGATGCTACAACAGTTCACATGCCTTAAAGTAAGGATTTCAAACAGTGTTACTTACCGTTCTCGTATATTTCCGACCACGACAATACTTCCTGGTATTGTTTGCATAACATCAAGTGTCTAAAATAAGGCTAGCTAAACATGGTTTAGAACACTTGTACATTGTTATTTTCGCACAAAAATATATGATGATTGAAATCTGTTTGTTTACATCGTGTTGGTGCAGGTACATGATGATGCCACCTGTTTCTCACGAGACCTTATCCCTGTACTTTGACATGGTAACTTAAATTAAACGATGCTTACCCATCTAGAACTACTACGTGAGTCAATGAGATGCACTTTTATCTGGTGGTTGCAGATTTCAAGGGAATTGTTGTTATATGAAACAATATGGCTGCATAATTTTCTATTTTCTATTCCGTAACAGCATAAACTCATGGTAATTTTTATGCTGAAGTAATCAGTAACATTTTTGCTATTAGGTGAGACTGTACTTCTACTGTACTATTTTTCTCGCTTGTGGAATTGCTTATGAAATGATTTCTTTAAATTGCAAGTATTAGTATTATCGCAACAGTGCCACCAATGTGTTGATTCTGTGGTGGTGTTTTTATCCATAGGGCTTCTGCACAGAATACACAAATAGGCAATCATTTTCAGCTCCATCTCAAAATCCTTAGCAATTCACTTGAAAACCAACACACCTACTGTGCACGCTACTGTGTATGGTGTCAGCTAATATGGAGTGAATATTTTAATTGGCTAGCCATCTCACTAATGGCAATGGCCTTCCATGTGTCTTTGTTTTTCCCTGATTCAATTCATCTATAAAGGTGCTTCCTAATTCATTATTTATGCAGCATTAGATGTGATATTCTCTGTTTATGAACTGCAGTCATTACAGAGGATGTGTAATGCTGAACATGAAATTATTTAATTGTATAATTAGGGGATTTGCAAGATGTATCGGAGAGAAATTTCATAATATTTCACGAACTGGTGTGATCTAGGTGTAGACTATGCAAAATCTTACTATAGATTGGAGATTTTCTGTGTGTGTGTCCGGCTATACGTTTCCGCACCGCTCAACGGATCCTCTCCAAACTTGGTCGGAACATTCTACACTCTACAGATCATGACACGTTGCATGGGCTCTTTTTTTTCACGGTTTCATTTTTTTAACATTTCACGTTCAAAAACATAAAATAGTGGGAAATTTTTGCACCCAGCGCGGGGCTCTAATAAAAATAAACCGCGCCACATATCGGATCTTATATGAGTTAATATATTGTTTTAACACTTTTAATAAAAAGTTTTTTTTTGTATAGAAATAAATATAAACATACACGGCAGTGTCTACGGCAGTGTCTACGGGCAGTGTCGAGTCTATTTTAAACTTTAATTTGACACTGAGAGCATCTAAGTATCATGCAATATTGTGTAATCTGGGGCCATCTGTGGAAGCATATCAGACTATGTGTGTAGAAGTTGAAGTAAGGGTATTAAAAAAAAACATGTTGGGCAGTTTATTGTTCTACATTGGCTGGGTACTATCTATATATATATGTTATCTTTACCACCCGCATCTGCCGTCTTGGTGGGCGCAGCCAGCAGGAGTTGCAATGCATGCTTTCCCAAGCTATAAACTAGTACATTATTTATATACTTGCGTGTAGGTGTTTACTGATATCAAGAGAGGATAATACTTAGGACCTATATGTGTCTATGATAATACTTAGATCTGAAGAACTTTAAATGGCTAATCAAATAGTTCATTGCTTATGCATTTTGCTCACGTGGTGTTTGTATGAATGGAAAGTTCCGAGCATATTATTTCAGTCAAGAAGGAACATGTTTCTGTGGAACAGGTTAATTGTTACTCAACCGTGAAGATTGGAAACGTAGAGCTGACGTTTCGCCTCCTATCAGTATCAGGAGGTTTTCTCAAAGCTGACTGATGATTATCAGTTTTGACCACCAGATGGTGTGGTGGTCAATAGCTTAGTCCACACGTGACTCAACCTGTATCACCCTTCGTCATGGTTGATGTTCGGCGTCTTGCGGATCCAGATGGCCTCCTTAATCCATCGCCTGATTTTGATTGGCTCACGATCGATGATCTTCGAATTATCCCGATCGATGGTGTGATTATCCTTCGCTACTTGGTCCGTGATCGCAGATATGGTTATTTCGGTAGCCGACTGTAAAAATAGATCTATTATTCACTCCTGATAGTATGTCATTGTCAACTAATTTTTAAGGATTCAGAATGATTCTGACGAAATAGAACTCTTTGTGATTGCCAGGCCATAATAAAAATATGGTTTGTTTGCCCTCACCCGACCGACCCGCCAGAAAGTGGCCGACTAAAAAAAAATTATTGATCTTTTTTTTAAAAACGTTTTTTTTAAAAACTTTTTTTTAATTGTATCACTGTACATTATATAAATCTGTAGGCAATACATTATATGTACCAAGCAAAACAAACATTCAACATAAAAGGTATCTCCACACAAGCACACCCGAGCATGTAGACACCATGCTAAATTTGTAAAAAGACCCCCTCCTCCTCAAAAAAAGAAAGAAAAAAAAGCCAACCAACCTACCCAAACTTTTCAGCCTGGGTCGGGTGAGGGCAAACAAAGATTTTTTTAATTGTGGCCTCACCTAAATGCCTGTTTGTGCATACGAGCGCTGGTACGCACGATATTGTGCATACGAACTGTTCTTGAATCTGGCCCCTGGTCTGCTGATAGATAGCAATACAAATTCCAACTCGGCAACGGTGACAATAACAACAACAACAACAACAACAACAACAACAACAACAACAACAACAACAACAACAACAACAACAACAACAACAACAACAATGAGAACATCAATTGCCATAGCAACAACAACGTTACAACAATAATAATAGCAACAACAACAATAAAAATATATAAAAATGTAATTGGTTACAGCTCGGAGAGACTTGATCTATTTATTAGCCGTGATAACTGATGCCTAGTACATTTATATCAGGAGTGGATAAAAATAAATAACTTTATTTTATGCATTCCTGATAATTACATGCTCAGGACTGCCGGTTCTGGTACGTATACTATGGCAAAGTTGTGCCATAGACTATTCGGTGGTACTTGTAGTAATTGCCTGTTGCACGCAAGGACGCTGTACTATAGGAGCATCAACTGCCTGCCAGCAGCAGCAAGGTGTAAATTTTACAGTGTAGGGTTAGTCCTCGAATTGGTGGTTTCGGCGTTGTATTGACGTAAACTCGAGCAGTTATGTTCGTGACTTCTACGCTGTGAGTCGTGACTCACTCATCATGATGCATGCATGATTCAAGAGTGATGCGCGCACTGGTGTTTTTTTGCAAGTGCTACGCGTCATGCCTCGAGAGGTATTTATTATATGGCACTTGACTCTCTAACGTTGTGACGTCAGTTCGATTGCTCGATGTACTATGAGCTTACGTACAAACCAGGGGTTAATAATGACAAACGTATTATATTGTGTTATATTATATTATATTGTATTATATTTGTCATTATTAACCCCTGGTACAAACGTATATATATATTATATATGTGCGTGCACAGAAACTGCCGTGGGTTATCGGTTGTGCGTCTACAGACGGCCGCCTGTTTGTCTAGTACCCCGGCGTTCAACGATCCGATGACTCGTGACTTACTATACGTTGCCCAGACGTGCGCTTATCTCTCTGCTCACACGCATAATCAGAGCAGTGCTCGGAAAGTTTAAGGAGTCAATGTTAGT